CTGTACAAAAATGCCGGCGTACATTAGCACCCCCCCCCCCCCGGGGGGTGAGAGGGGATGAAAAAGACAAGTTTGTTGTGCGGATGTCCTTTGTGGACAACCCCTATCCAGAGCCATGATTTGTGTAGTCCCACTTTTTGGTTTTGTACCCCTGTTGAGCCTCTGCCCAATACTCACTCCCCCGGCAGGGATCGATTTCTTAACAAAAATTTTCTAAAATCATGGTGTTTTTAAAAGATTTTCTACCAGAACGAGGGTTGTGAATGAATCGTGGATATTGTGTGTAAATTTTGCCAATGCATTGTGAAAGCAAGATGATTGAAATGACGACCACGCAAATAAATATACATATGATATATTGGTATTTTCCTTGGGATGTTCATACGGTAACAGATTTGTGAAAAGCTGTAGCCTACATCATAACTACATTTTTGTGTAAAAGTAAAATTTAAATATTCAACTACATGAAGAATATTGAAACACAATAAAATATTGCTTAGTATTCAAAATTGTCCTGTTCTTATTGTACATGTCACATACATAATACCTTTGCTTTCTGTTTGTTTTCTAATTTCTTTATTATTTTCAAATACAAAGACCGGCACAACTTTTTCAAATTTTTAACTATAACACTTAATAATCAGAATATAACACATTTAAAATATTTAAAAATTATCATGAAACTATTGTTACAAATGAACATAATAATTTATATATAAAACATATTTTTAATTAAATTGGAAAATAAATAATAAAAACTCCATCCTCATCTGGGAATCGATCACAAAACATAATATAGCCAAGCGTCTTCTCTACCACAAGACCACATAAGTATAAGATCTTATTGTAACACATCTACTCTGACATGGCGTGGGATCTTATTTCTTATGCTGTGGGTTATGTCAGTAGCATGGTTACTTGTTCTGAGTTAGTAATTCAGAATGCCGGCTAAGACTTCATCGTTCTTCCTCGTATTATCCAGGCACGTAAATAAGAATACTGAATCCTGGTTAAACTGACAGTACTTTATTAAATCACAGTTTACACAGATAATATTAATAATAATCCTTGCATGAATGTAATCATTTCACATACATATATATAATATTCCATCACTCAGAAAGACACGTCCTCACACTGCTATAACTCAACTCAACTGTACTACATCTCAACTCTAACTCAACTCCGACTAACTCTGACTCTCTTTTCGCTCAGCTCTCCTTATCTCAGTCAACTCATACTTTATTATCAGCAAAGCGTGGAAAACAACCGCTCTGACAAAAACATAATTTTACTCTCCAAAAACGTGGAGTTCACATTTGCATCTCAAAAATACAATCCATTGATTGTCTCTCCCCGTGGAAAAAACATGGTCAACACTATTCACTGTTCACTCATGCTACCTCTCTGTTTACATGTGAAAACATAGTCCGTTACATGCCCCACCCATCTGAAAAAATTTTGTGCAACAAAATTTTTGGCAAAAAATTATATGCTGAGATAATGATAATGTCTCTTAGAAATGTCTTTTCCTTTTATTGTCCTTATCTCATACTGATAATCTAATAGTATCAACGACCATCTGTTTATTTTACTGTTTGCTATTTTCTTTCTATTCAGTGCCATTAATGGCTTGTGATCAGTCAATAATATAAATTTTCTGCCTAATAGATACCAACAATCATATAACAAGCATATCTTAAAACCAGGCCAGTGGTACATTTTTGCAGCGGTGTACACAGGCCTAGGTCCATGGTTTTGCTAGGTACACTGCCACGGTGTACGCAGGCCTAGGTCCATGGTTTTGCTAGGTACACTGCCATGGTATACGCAGGCCCAGGTCCATGGTTTTGCTAGGTACACGCAGCCACTTTGAAATTAGAATGAAGTAAAACAAAAACTGGTACTAAGAATGTAGAGTACAACTATAGACTATACAATACAATACATTTTAAATAGTAAATGGTCTAATAATTGTGTAAAGTTTTACTGAAAGAGGCAACAGTGAATTCTACTGAAGACTGAAGTCATTGGGTCCTAACCATTGTATAATAAATAATACATTAATAATTAATAATAATAAATAGGCCAATAAGTATAATTCTATCTACTCAACTAGCCTATCTATATGTTATTAATTATATTAAATTAAAGCATTCAGTATGCAGTCCTTGATTGTCAACTTATATTATTATGTTCATTCTGTACTTTGTATTGCCGTGGATTGATCTCTTTATAATGACTGGCAAACCACAGCCTGAACTACTCAGGCTCAGGCTGAACTGTGTTCAGACTATATCCATACTCATGCTGTGCGAAAAATTAAAGTCAAAGTGTCAAAGGTAATTAGTATTAGTAAGAGTAAGAGTGAGTAAGGTCAAGGAGTAATAGTAAGATTTAGAAGGAAGTAAGTAATAGTAATAGTAGTGATGAGTCAGAAAACTCAAAACAGTGAGTTGAGTGAGTGGCACCACACTGGCTTTCGCACTCACAGTTCAGTGACAGTACTGAGTACTGACAGTGAGTGAGTGACTTCAATGAGTGTGAGAGTGGCCACACCACCGGTGGATGAAGAACTATCAAGTTTATCAAGAAGTATTATTAGATAATAAAAATCCATTCGAATATTATTTTAAAACTTACTGGGTTGGGAAAGTGAAACTAAAAGCCACATTTTGACATCCAGTTCAACAACGCTCGATCGAGTTGATTATTAAACCTTTACTAGGAAGTTAATGTTCTGTTTATGAAAGACTCCTGAAAACATAATAATAGATTTGATTCGTCTTTAAAACACCACATATAAGTTCAGATTTTATATTGTTTAATAAAACTAAAAACATGAAATCAGAAACTAGGAAACAAAGTTTCCTGTTACCTCGACTAAATTTATATTTATATCTATTAGCAATGAACTGAGAAGTTAAGTAAATATTACATTCATTATAATATAAGTGGATAAAATGTTATTATTCTTTCCTTATACATAAAGCTTTCATTAATTGTACTATGTTTCCTGCGTGCTGTTATAGATTAGTCAAGTGAATACTTTTTCTTACTCAAAGGTTCAAGAAGGGAAACTGAAATAAAACTGAGAGTGAGGAGTAGAGAAGTAAATTAGAATTGAACTTTGACCTTACCTAAGTTGACTGAGCCTTGACTAATTTATAGTAATTTTACATTTAAAGTACCGTTACAGTGTGAAATTGTCAAAATTACTTTAATGAGAGGGAGAGTCAGAGTTAACATCTTAATTTGATATTATCAATTGTCATATTATGATCATATTGCTTAAAATTAAATTAAATTTATTGAACCTAAAAAAAAAAAAATATTTGCAATAATGGATAAAGGCCAACTGATCTGACTGACTGTGATGTGAATGACAGTGAATAACCAATTGTAATTGTCCAAAGTGACCAAAGCTTAAAAATTATCAATAAATTAGTGTAGTAATTACAGTAATGTTTAGGTCTACATAACTAAATAATAAAAAGTGTAAAAGAAAGGCATCACCATCTGTTGATTTACATTTACAGCAACAAAAAAATCATGTTTGTCTCAAAAGTTTGACGCCCTGGTAAAAAAATAGTCTCACAATCTTTAAATCCCCTACTGATGAGAATGGGGGTGAAAGTTTTCTTAAAATTTCAGGTACTAGGAGCAAAATCTAGCATATCAAATGTGATGCACCACTATCCTGTTTTAATCACTTAATTTTTTTTTACATTTCATGTTTCCTTATAGCCTATATAATAAATAGTTGTTATTCTCACCACTAATTAAATTCTGATATTAAATACAACACTCCTAGTCCTAGAAAAATAAATGATCCTTTTACACCTTTACTTACCGGTACTCCTCTTAATTTTTTTTCCAGGGCCTCTTTGACCAACAATAAAGAAAATGTACTTTAAACAAGATGCAGGATTTTTATGTGGGTGCTTGAGAATTGCAAGAATCTTTTTGTATCCAAGCTTCCTTTCCTTTAATTGGCTTCTCTGCCTATACATTACTACGTTTCAAGAAAATAAAAATCCCAGCAACATTTTGAAGCGAAAGATTTTTCTCACACCAATATATGCAAGTCTATTCATCTTGTTCCTACCACTAATGATCATCTTCCTTCCACTTCGATGTCTGTTACTGTATTACCGTCGCCCGTTTATGTGCTCTGAACACCACACAGCCTACACTCATTGGCAAAGTCAAATTCTAAATGAGAAGATAGACAGTGGAGACCACAAGTTTGGAATTGCTACAGCCAACTTGTGCCTCATGCCTGAGCTTGCTTCAAAGATGAATGATTTAACAAATGTTAGCAGGAGGGCCAAGAAAATTGGGGAGCGCATTGTGGTAAATCAATTTTATAATGATGAATGGAGCAAGAGTGAGTCAAGTTTGAAAAATCCTGCAAGCAATAAAAATGTTGATGGAAAATTTCTAACAAATGTATCAGGCAGTGGAGACGGCAATAACAGAGGCAAACAAAAGAAACATGAAGATATTCAAGGGATTGTTTCCACCAATTTCCCATTTGTGGATATTTTTGTAATCCAAGAAGCTTGGTCAAGCTACCACAACCCAACTCTAATGCAGGAGCTCCATAAAGTATTTCCCTACATTATCCATGATGCTGGAGTTCACTCTTACGAAAATAATCTTTTCTTCCTGAACAGTGGTCTTCTGATTGCCAGTAGGCATCCAATAGTTGCTGTTGACTTTAAGCCATTTGTTAACTTTGTAAAGCATGGACGTCTGCTGTCAAATGGTCTTCTTATGGCTAAGGTGATTTAACTTTAATTTGCCATTGTGTGATAGCAAAGTTCTTTATTTTCAATTTATTTTATTTTCTTAGTTATTTTTTTAAAGCAGATAATATTATGATATTATGATCAGAATCTTTTTAATTTACAAGGGGTTAAGAATTTGGATGGGGGGGGGGGGGGGCAACCTGATGGAAAATGTGCAAACAGCCAATGTTCGAATTGTAAATTATTTATATTCTTTCTTGATATTTAGTTTTTAAATCTACATCACAAAAAAAATTAAAATGCAACATTTGTTTTCAAATAACCCGAAACCAAGCTGGATCAGCACTGGACCATGGACCAGCATTGAACAGAAATTAATTAAATTGATAAATTCAATTTGATAAAATGATTTAAAAATAACTTTTTAAAAAGTAGTAATTTATTTTTAATATCAAATTTTAGTCAAACCCACTTATCTTGACCTTGGTTAACTCGACAACCCTGTTATGTCAACGTTTTGAAGTAGAACTGCCAAATTCTCTCTTTGTCTTAGCATTTTCTCCTTGGTTATGTCGATTCTTTTATGTCGCCAAACTCTAATATCTCGAGCACTAAAGGCGGCCAAATTTGCCACTTAACCTCGGTTATCTTGATCCCCTTGACCAATCACCGGCTTTTGAAAATTATATACAACAGAAACATGCCCACTTCAAACTCTAGTAATGGAAATGAAATGACAATCTTTGTCCGCGCAATTAACATGACACAGCAAGAAGCGAGGATTGAGAGGCTTGTAAACAAAAGAGAGAGGTCGTAGTACTATTTATAGCGAACCTGCTTGTTGCTTAATAGGCTTTCACATGTTCTCACATTGATTTTTTTTTTAACCCAGAATCTGCTTTTAAATAAACTTAACTGGCGAATCAAAAGAGAGAGAGAAAATAAAAAAATTGTAAATCCGGAGCTGAAAAATATTTAGTCTCACGAATTCTGGGATAATCCAGAAAAGTGGCACCCCACATATGCCTGGTGTTGTTAGCAAACATGTATGTAAATTTTTATAGCATGCCGACCGCTTCATCAAACAAATCGCGGTAAGGCTGTTGTGTTTTAAAAAAAACTCCAAAAACACATGCATGTACATTCTCATTTATAAATGCACATCGTGTGCATAAAAAAATTTCAAGCTCATGTTAATATATTGCCGCCATATTGGTTTTCCATTATCTCGATCATCGGTTATCTCGATGCTTTTTGGCAAACACTGAGGCCATCAACATAACCGTGTTCCTCTGTAGTGAGTAGTCCAAGATAATCTACATCTATTCCCCATTCGTTTTTTTATTATTTACCTAATTCATACAACATGCATATATTTTAAATGTCCCAGCAGAAAATAAATTCACAACAGTTCTTAAGCCATATCTTTACTATGTTGTCACCAAAATGATTTCATGTCTTGAACTCCCTCCCCAACCTCCCTGTCTTGCGGTGAGTCAATATGAATCAAATTTGTTTTTGACTCAATTCAAGTGGGTATTGTTTGATCTGCCAGGTGGTTATTGGAAGGGAAAAGAGCGAGAAAAGACATGTGGGTTATATTTTCAACACCCACCTCCAGTCATATCAAGGTGAGTCTAACATTGTTGTTTGGAAAGGTTTAAATGAACTTATGATGACTTGAAATTAATGTCTTTATTTAAATGTTAAAAGGCATTTTTTTGTAGAAAATATTTAATATAAAGGGGCATGCCAATCATAAAAGGTTGACACTTTAACATTATTGTTTTGTTATTTGCTTTTAGTTTAATGGCTTGACATGTAAATAGTTCTGGAATGGGTAAAGTGAATATATATTTGTTTTGTTTTATTCAATTAATGTATGTTAATTAATTTTTTAAGTTCATGATTATCTTTGTTAAATTGTTTGTACAGTGTGGTGAGCCCAGCCCTAGGCTGGGGTACCATGCTATATAAAACCACTAATATTAATAATAATAATGTATTTTGCTATGGTGGTGAGTTTCATTTTTATAGTTGAAGTTTAAAATCCTCCTTATCAGTGGTTTGGCGAAACAAAAATATTAGGCTGTCCAGACATGCTTGCAAGCAATCATGGTAAAAAAAATTAATTTTAATTAAAGGATGAAGTTGTGAAATTTTAGTTGCTTTAAGGTATGGGTCAGATTTTGTGCTGACTTTCATGAATTGTTATATTTTATGAGATTGATAGTTAATCTTGTAAAGTTTGTTGTATTTTCTCCTCCAGGCAAGGACCAGATAATACCAAAACAATTAGATGAAATGCTTGCCTGGATTAAACTATTCAAAGAAGAAAACAAGCAAAAAGGAGATAACATCATTTTCAGCATTATATGTGGAGATTTTAACTTTGATAACTTTTCTCCAGGTAGGCTGGTGTGGTACCAGTAACCATAAATTGTTATTTATACTGTGTTTACCTACTTGAAAAAGTTTGAAAGCAAATAAAATCTTCAGCTAATCCTTAGAAGGTAAATTGTAATCTGACGAATTTAAAGTATATATGTAAATACATTTTACTTGTTTGTAGATGGCTGTAATTTTTTTTAAGTGGGTTACAGTTGTTATAAAAATATGCAAGAAGATAATTTTTAAATAAGACTTTGAATCTGAAAGAATGAAAAATTAGGACTTTGTTATTTCAACTTTTACGGAAAAGAATGTTTAACCCACGAACTGTGGTCGGCCGAAAAAATCATCCGACTTTCTCGTTCTGTACTGTGGCGGCCGAAAAAATCGGCCAATAAAAACCACGGTCTGATAGCAACTTCCAATCCAATATTTAACCAGAATTATAGCCACGTCCTTTTATTAATAATTAAATTATCTTCCGGTTCAAGCTGTTTCATGATAACTTGAAAATAAATACTTTTTAATCAGAGTTTTAAATCGCTGTTTTTTTCAAAGCTAAAATGGTTGAAGCCATGGCTGGGCCTTCAGTGCAAGAACTAATAGAAATATGTTTGAAAGCTTTTTAAGAGAGATTTTAAGTGATACTGATGATGATTTTAACATTCCCCATGACGATATCAGTTGAAGTTATTCTTCTCGTGAATTTTATACTAGTCTTAGTGATACTGAAGTAGGCCTACTGAGGCTACTGTTAGACTTCGAGCCAGGTCCGGAGGTTGGGCAAGGACTGACTAAATTTTAGTCACAGAAGCTACAAATTATAGTTCAGAACTAAGAAATTGTATAGTTAAACAACCCAAATCAGTTCCACAGTTCCTTTTTAAATGTTTACTAGTCAATAATAACTATTTTGCCTGAGATTTAAACTCAGTTTTTTAAATAAATTTATTCATCTAATATATTTTATTAGAATGATTAGAATTTATCAAAATTGTCTTAGTTTTGTTATATTATATAAAAATATATATATACATATATTATATTTTTATTATATATAGTATATTATTATTATTATATAAACAATTATCTATCATCACTACTACTACCATTAGCTGACAAGGAAAGCAGCAGACATCCGGTTTTCAGTGAGTTCACAGACTTTGGAAGATTAAAAGCTGGATTGGACAAGCCATGGACAGTAGGTTAGAATGATACTTAGTCTACTTGTACTGTAAAAGTTAGAATGACATTTCATGTTCTGTAACTCAAGAGTACTGGGTAACAAAATCTAGGTACCGTCCCAAAACACAGACCACCAACTGAGCATCAGGACTTGTCCTTATTTGAAAACTTAAATATTAACAAATTCTGTATCAATGTGTCAACTAATGCTGTACCATTGTGTCCACATCTGCTGGTCAAACATGGAGTGAAACAGATTCAAATTTGTTCATCCTTAAAATGGAATCTATTTAAATAATGCTACACAAGCTGTAAAATGGGAATAATTTAAATAATGATAGATCCGTCTGGATTGATTTAACCTTTAGTTTAGTTGCCACTCTGTTAGTTCCATTGATCAACCAGCTACTTTTGACAATAAAAAATTGATGAAAACTTAACAATTCAGTTATGAATTTTTTAGAATATGCTTTCAGAGTGCTTATATTTGGCTGAGGTATTTGAATTTTCCCAAAATTTGGCTGTTGATGTTTAAAATAAAAATCTGAACAATTCATATGATGGTATATGCTTGTAAGGTACTGAGATGAGGCCAGAGTTCATGTTAGAGAAGGAGGTTGCAACACCTGAAAGACTGAAATTTGTCCTAGAAGATCCCATCCTTCGCCAGTGCCATCTTGTGGATGCAGATATTTTAGAGCATTCAAAAGAAGCTATTGTCAGTGGTGGTGTCAAACGAGATGCTGAAGGCAAAGTCATAGTTTTTCCAGAAGGTGGAAGGAGAAGGATTGACTATATTTTAACCAATGATTTCTACCCAGTGGTGAGTTGTCTTTCTTTAATTTTAATTCATGTTTTTAAAAAATTTTAAAACTTGAATTACACTATCCACTACTCTATTCCCTCACCATCCACTGCTCTACTTCCACACCATCCACTGCTCTATTCCCACACCATTCACTACTCTACTACTACACCATCCACAACTCTGCTCCCACAACATTCACTGCTCTACTCCAACACCCTCTTAAACATATCCCTCAATTCACTCCAATCATTTTTCCTCAAACCCATTCATCCCCTTTTCCCCATCCCCCAAATTCTGCCCCAAAACACCAGAGATCCTCCCACCACAGCCCTGAACACTTCTCTCACCCATCCTATCCCCATTCTAACTTCTGCCCCAAAACACCAGAGACCCTCCCACCACAGCCCTGAACACTTCTCTCACCCATCCTATCCCCATCTAACTTCTGCCCCAAAACACCAGAGACCCTCCCACTACAGCCCTGAACACTTCTTTCACCCGTCCTATCCCCATTCTAACTTCTGACCCCAAAACACCAGAGATCCTCCCACTACAGCCCTGAACACTTCTCTCACCCATCCTATCCCCATCTAACTCCCCCACACACAAGACCTAAACGCCAACATATTCCCAATGCTCGCCACCTCACTCACCTACGCTGACATTTATTCATTCTAAGCAAAATTTAGGATTTTACTTTTATAACTTCCATTTAGTCAAAGCTCAGCTGAATTTAGAAAAGAAAATTGAATTAAACTAAAAATAAATCTTTTCATCTCTGCAAATAATTATATTTATCTGTCATTTATTATTCATAATTAAAAACTTTACATACAATCTTAGCTTATGAAATAATCCTAATATATATCCGTAAGACACTCTATTTGCTCCTCTGGCTTAATCCAACGCTTGATTATTTTATTTTCTTTATGTCCTTATTGTTCACTCTCATCTAATTGCATCCAGAATGTTGAAAGCTACAGTTTTGTGACCAAACTGGCCCTACTGACTGACCACATCCCTGTTGCCATGAGTTTCACCTGCCAAAACTTGAAGTGAGATTTTCCTGTTTGGCTTGCAGATGTCTTGACCATGACAGAGAATGGTTTTGTACTGCTAATGACTTTTGAATGGCACGATTATTTATGACACAATGTGAATATCTACTGTTAAAATTGCAAAAGAAAGTGATGCAGCTAATTGAGATGGTATGTCATTTTCCCCCGAGCCAATATTCAATTTTTAAGGCAAACAAAAAAAGGGAAAAAAGTGTGAATGGTTTTTAACAGACAGCTTCTATGGCAGCTCTAGTGTAGATGTCCAAATGTTCATTCCACTTAAATCTTTGTTGACCACCAATTAACCATTGTTTTTTGGGTTATTTATGATCAATAAGTATTTATATCAAAATACGGCTAGGTTTAAATACAAAATTATTTTTTGGTATGCACTTTGAGAAAAATGTATCCAATGTGGATTTTAGGATGTACAATTATTTTATACAATTGAAGTTTAAACTACCATCAAATTTCAAATAGTAATATAACTCTTAAACATCCATTATGTGTGCATCTATCTTTGTATTTATACAATTACATCTTATTATCTGCGGGAGCTCTTTTGTTATATAAATGAAATATTAAAGTTATTTAAAACTCTCCGGGCAAATGTGACCAAAAAGCCTTGCATAGTGACATTTTTTAAATTGCATTTTAATTTTATGCAGTTTTTAGTTCATTACTAAATTCTGTTATATATGCTTGAGATTTTTCTTGTGTTCTATACACCCAGGCTTGCTGTGATTGCTTTAAATATGTATGTTATTTATATCAAAAATGAGGACATGTTTATTTACAATGATATACTAATCCAAGGCTTTCCTAGTTTGTCAATTTTGTTTAATCAAACTTTGACTAGTAATGTTTATGTGCATCAAACTTCATTTCATTTTCTTCTTTATGAAATTTTATGTTGAGTTTGAGAAATGTGTTCAACATGCTGTGTCTTATATGTGATCATAAGTACAAGCCTCCCTTGTGGACATGGCTAAACATCTTCATCACTACAGAATGGGCCAGACACCTACATCACTACATAATGGGCCAAACACCTACATCACTACAGAATGGGCCAAACACCTACATCACTACAGAATGGGCCAAACACCTACATCACTACAGAATGGGCCAAAACACCTACATCACTACAGAATGGGCCAAAACACCTACATCACTACAGAATGGGCCAAACACCTTCATCACTACAGAATGGGCCAAACACCTTCATCACTACAGAATGGGCCAAAACATCTTCATCACTACAGAATGGGCCAAACACCTTCATCACTACAGAATGGGCCAAAACATCTTCATCACTACAGAATGGGCCAAACACCTTCATCACTACAGAATGGGCCAAACATCTATATCACTACAGAATCTTTTATTTATTTTCTTTATGAAATGGGTTTTGAATGCAATGGGATTTTTTCCTTTTTTTAAATTAATGCTAATAAGGATTTTATTCTTTGGTCTAAGTGATTTAAAATGACTGGCGAGTTATTATTGCTCTGCAATGAAATCATTTATGTTCAGCATGTGCTGTAGGCCCTATATTCATAATTATAACCTAACAATTTTTTATTTTTTTAATGCTTCTTCTAGAATGAATGTAAGGATGGAAAAAGCATTTTCTGGAGAAGACAACCTTTTGAAGTGTGCATGCCATAAAACCTAAATCTTTTATACTAATTTCTGGAAATTATATTGGGGGAACATAATAATACTACTTGATAAGAATAACTTTTCAAATAATGAAAGTCACAAAAGAACTTGGTAATTGAAGAATGTTATATTATTTTAAGTCATGTGAGATAGAATGAATTGTTAAGTTAATGACAGGAATGTCACTTAAAGGTTAAAGGTTGCTCTACCCTTTTGATACCGTCGAAAATTTTCACTGAAACTACTAAAAGGGTATCGATAATTCTGTTTGTCTTTTTAAATTAGATTAATCAGCCATAAAGTTGGTCTTGGGACAAGGACAATAAATAAATAAATATGACATTAATATAGAGACATTCAAATAACATAAATCCTGTTGTATGTCTGTCTGGAATTAATGCTAATAGAAACAACCTTTAGAACAGCATTGCGCTTTTACAATATGCAATTACATCCCCTTTAAATTTCCTTTCTATAATTATTTATAAAAAATGTTCACTAATTTTTTTACTGATAATAATCTTGTAATTCTATTAATACTTATGTTAACTCTGCAAGAGTTGTGATCTTACTTACGGTACTACTTCCTTAAACTAAACCCTGGGATTCGTGTGCCAAAAAAAATGTATTGGGTTTGCCAGAGGATGAGGACCCCCCACCCGGCCTATATAAAAATAATTGTAGGAATCATAAAAATTTTTAATGCTTTGATTAAGTTTGAGCTCATATTTTTTTTTATTAACTTAAATAAAAATTTAATAGTGAATTTATCTATCTGTATAATTTAATGATTATCAATTAAAAATAAAATTTATTTTCCTATCCATGTTTTTTTTACTCGTGTCATTGTCATCCAACTGTATTCAGAGTCCATATTTTACCAGAGTGGCAATAATTTCTCTGAATATACAGGGTGGCTCAGAATAAGTGATAACATCTCTTACATTGTAATATAATTACATAACATTTGTTAACTGTATCCATTTACTGATTTACTTATGTAACTAAATGACGTCATTATGACTATTTACAATTATTTACGGTGGCCATGAATGAAAACAAATTATATTAATATTAAATAACCTTTTGCTATGAGATGTTCTCACTTTTTTTGGGCCACTCTGTACATTTGGCAGAGACCAGAAACCAAGATTTAGATTTTTAATAGACCTATTCATGTCATAATCAATAATTGATCAGTAATAACGGTTACAAAAATTTTTGAAAGAAATTTCGTAGACGGAAAATTGATGTACGGAAATTTGCTCAAAAGGAAATCTGGTTGAATATTTTTTTCAGATCACACGTTAAAATTGTTGTCAAATTTCTATTTGAACGCTCTATACTATACAGTAAACCAAACAATATAATGCTGATAATTAGTAAGTGAAGGTATGTTTTGATCAAGAAGTAAGTGTGGGTGTGGGTTGATCAAATAGTAAATGAGGGTATGTTTTGATCAAGGAGTGGGTGTGGGTTGATCAAGGAGTAAGTGAGGGTATGTTTTGATCAAGGAGTAAGTGTGGGTATGTTTTGATCATGGAGTAAGTGTGGGTATGTTTTGATCAAGGAGTAAGTGAGGGTATGTTTTGATCAAGAAATAAGTGTGGGTTGATCAAGGAATAAGTGTGGGTATGTTTTGATCAAGGAGTAAGTGTGGGTGTGGGTTAATCAAGAAGTAAGTGTGGGTATGTTTTGATCAAGGAGTAAGTGTGGGTATGTTTTGATCAATGAGTAAGTGAGGGTATGTTTGATCAAGGAGTAAGTGAGGGTATGTTTTGATCAAGGAGTAAGTGTGGGTATGTTTTGATCAAGGAGTAAGTGAGGGTATGTTTTGATCAAGGAGTAAGTGTGGGTATGTTTTGATCATGGAGTAAGTGTGGGTATGTTTTGATCAAGGAGTAAGTGAGGGTATGTTTTGATCAAGAAATAAGTGTGGGTTGATCAAGGAATAAGTGTGGGTATGTTTTGATCAAGGAGTAAGTGTGGGTGTGGGTTAATCAAGAAGTAAGTGTGGGTATGTTTTGATCAAGGAGTAAGTGTGGGTATGTTTTGATCAATGAGTAAGTGAGGGTATGTTTGATCAAGGAGTAAGTGAGGGTATGTTTTGATCAAGGAGTAAGTGTGGGTATGTTTTGATCAAGGAGTAAGTGAGGGTATGTTTTGATCAAGGAGTAAGTGTGGGTATGTTTTGATTAAGGAGTAAGTGTGGGTATGTTTTGATCAAGGAGTAAGTGAGGGTATGTTTTGATCAAGAAGTAAGTGAGGGTATGTTTTGATCAAGGAGTAAGTGAGGGTATGTTTTGATCAAGGTGTAAATGAGGGTATGTTTAGATCAAGGAGTAAGTGAGGGTATGTTTTAATCAAGGAGTAAGTGTGGGTATTTTTTATCAAGGAGTAAGTGTGGGTATGTTTTGATCAAGGAGTAAGTGTGGGTATGTTTTGATCAAGGAGTAAGTGTGGGTATGTTTTGATCAAGGAGTAAGTGTGGGTATGTTTTGATCAAGGAGTAAGTGTGGGTATGTTTTGATCAAGGAGTAAGTGTGAGTATGTTTTGATCAAGTAGTAAGTGTGGGTATGTTTTCATCAAGGAGTAAGTGTGGGTATGTTTTGATCAAGGAGTAAGTGTGGGTATTTTTGATCAAGGAGTAAGTGTGGGCATGTTTTGATCAAGGAGTAAGTGTGGGTATGTTTTGATCAAGGAGTAAGTGTGGGTATGTTTTGATCAAGGATTAAGTGTGGGTGTAGGTTGATCAAGGAGTAAGTGTGGGTATGTTTTGATCAAAGAGTAAGTGTGGGTGTGGGTTGATCAAGGAGTAAGTGTGGGTATGTTTTGATCATGGAGTAAGTGTGGGTATGTTTTGATCAAGGAGTAAGTGTGGGTATGTTTTGATCATGGAGTAAGTGTGGGTATGTTTTGATCAAGGAGTAAGTGTGGGTATGTTTTGATCAAGGAGTAAGTGTGGGTATGTTTTGATCATGGAGTAAGTGTGGGTGTGTTTTGATCATGGAGTAAGTGTGTGTGTGTTTTGATCATGGAGTAAGTGTGGGTGTGGGTTGATCAAGGAGTAAGTGTGGGTATGTTTTGATCAAGGAGTAAGTGTGGGTATGTTTTGATCATGGAGTAAGTGTAGGTGTGTTTTGATCAAGGAGTAAGTGTGGGTATGTTTTGATCATGGAGTAAGTGTGGGTGTGGAGATAAGACGATTTATTTATTTTTTAAAAGTAGAAACAGATTAGGGGAAAAGGGGGGGGGGGACTTCCCTACGCCAGTGTATTTGTTCAGATTTAAAAAGGTGGGGGGGGGAGTAGCGTTCCTTACGCCAGTGTATTTAGTTCAGATTGAAAAAAGGTGGTGGGTGTGGAATAACGTTCCCTTTGCCAGTGTATTCGGTTCAGAAATGACGCAGCGATTTCTGACAGATCCAATATTACCTGCTCGTCCAAATACATAATATTTAAGTAGCCCAAGAGTTATGCCATTCGGCACTGGATATTAAAGCGTTGAACATTACCGTGTTATCACACTCGGCTGGACACGGTAGCCCTGCTATAAACCTAGTCCCGGAGTACTTTGCTCTATATATTCCCTTACTAAAGTAGGGCCGCAACACGTCTCTGACCTGTGGAGTTTGACAACAGTTTAGATGGATTGTACTTGTGTGTGATGTGGAGTTTCTCCTTACATTCAACTGGTAGGTGATCATTAATTAACTCTTGATTTCTTCGTGAGCCCAGCTAGTAAGACGGATTTTGAATGAATGATCTATCGGACTATAGTCTATTGTTAGTATCTAGTTTATCTATAGTCTACTGTATATATCTAGTATGAGTATAGTCGTGTTGACACAATGGGAGCTGGAACACTTTATGAACATTCAAGATATTGGCCTGGTCTAGAGAGAAAACATTGGGGGAGGGGGGTTCTTGTGATTACTTCCTAGCGGTGCCGCCTATGTTTTGTTTAGTCCTTTTAACGTGAGAGTTTCAAACTGTTGCAGAGGGGGTAAAGTTGTAGCATATCTAGAGTGGAAGACAAGATGGAACAATGGGCTGGGAGCTTGGCGTATAAAGAAAAAAAAAGAGGGGGGGGGGGG